TATGTAGAAAGCACTACGCAAGAACCACGAAGTAGAACACACTACGTGAAATGCTCTGCGGAAAAAATCTGCAAAAAACACTACGCAGAAAACACAATGCAAGACACTCTACGTAGAGAACACGACTCAACATACACTACGCCTAAAACACTGCGTAGAACACACTACGCAAGACGCAGTGCGTAGACACCCCTACGCAAGACACACCACGTAGAAAGCACGACGCAAGAGACACTGCGTAGAAACAACTACGCAGGACACCCTACGTAAAACACGCTACGCCAGAAACACTGTGCAAGAACTACCTACGCAGGAAACGCTACGCATGCCACACTACGTACAAAAACACATAACGCAGGACACACTACGCAGGAAACGCTACGCAGGAAGCACAACATGAAAAACACAGAGTCGAACACAATACGCAGGCAGCACTACGTAAAAGAACATTCAGTGGAAATAGAACACTACGTACAAAAAGGCACTGTGCAGAAAACACTGCGTAGGTGTTTGAATTCACGGTTACGATTTCGATTCCACGCATTAGCAACCATCTCTGTGGTACAGTCGGCCCGTATCATAAGGATGCACGGTACGGATGCAAGGGCCTAAGACGCCCAGTTCGAAGCTTTTCGAGCGGGGCGCAGCCAACGAACGTGGTCAAGGATGGACTGAGAAGGCAAGGATGCAAGGGTACCCTTGGGAATGTTGCCCGTCCCTACTATGCAGGTTGACTGTAGTGCTTTACTATGCAAGGCGCGGGCCGCGCCTGGTTAATCACTATTGAAAGTCGGCCGCCGCGAATATACCCGCCAGCGTGCCCCCTTGCGCATTGCGCCGTGGCAAAAATGGCAAGGTCTGTCCCTGAAGGGCTTTTGGAATCTGATACTGTCAACCCGTATAGCAAGGACGCGCGATAAGGATGGAAGGGCATCGGACGCCAGTTCCGAAGCTTGTCGAGCGAGGCGCAGCCACCCAACGTGGCAAAGGATGGACCGATGAGGCAAGGATGTAAGGGGGGGATCCTAGGGAAAGGTACCCATCCTTACTATGCGGGCTGGCTGTAAACAGCCGCCCCCTCCCTCTACTAGCAGACTCCTGCGCGCACCGCCCCTCCGTTCCAAAACCACTTCCCCACTGCCCGCTCGAGGATAGTGCAGTTCCAGCGTGGCAACTACTGCCCACTCCCCGATTCCACGCATGCCCGCTCGAGGATGCTGCACTTCCCGCATGGCACCTGATGCATGAACCCCTCTTCCACGCGTGCCCGCTCGAGGACGGTGCACTTCACGCATGGCAGCCAATGCCTGAACGTGCATTCCGTGCGCGCCCGCTCGAGGATTGTGCACTTCCCGCAGGCTGCTAATTCCTAGACCCCTCATCCCACGCGCACCCGCTCGAGGATCGTGCACGTCCCGCATTCCCACGCGCTGCTCCCAAGCGCTCTAGAGCCTCCCACGCCACGATCCCTTGTTGAAAACGATGGGTCTGCGGTTCGAGATTCCAAGACGGCCCGTGCAAGCAACCAAGGGACATCCAGATGGCCCAAGATGCCCCGAATGGGGGCCCAAGATGGCCCCAAGGCAGCCGACCATTGATCCAAGACGGCCAGAGATGTCTCACAGAGAGCCCAGCATGGCCAGAAGAGAACCTCCAACACGGTCCGAGAAGAAGCCAAATCATTGATTTCCAGAGTTCCCGAATGATTTTCACAGTCTCGCCTTTTCGGGCTGTCGTCAGCTCAAGACGCCCAAGAGGACCCAACGATTCAGCAATAGGCATCCAAAATGGCCCGAGGACGGCCCAAGAGGGCCTCCCGTGGGACCCAAGACGGCCTTAGGAGGCCCTTCGACGGCCCGAGACGGCGCCAAGACGGCCCCCAGACACCCGCCATGCGGCAAAGATGGCCCCAAGACGGCCAAAGAGAGCGCCAAGCCGTTGTGAGAGGGTGCAGAGATGGCCCAAGAGGACCAGAAGCGAACCTCAAAACTGGCCCACAGGAAGCCAACAGCCCCAAGCCGACCCGAACTAGGTGCATCATGATTATAATCAGTATCAACACCACCACTTCCACCACAACCACCACCACCACCACGGACATCAACAGCATACTTATCAGCATCATCAGCATCATCAGCAGCATCATCACCATCATCATCGTCAGCAGCATCATCATCATCATCAACATCATCATCATCATCCTCATGATCATCATCATCATCATCATCATCATCATCATCATCATCATCATCAGCATCATCATAGCAATCATCTGCATCCTCTGAAACAGCATCATCATCATTAGTATCAGCATCGTCAGCCTTACTATCATCCTCATCATCGTCAGCATCATCAGCATAAGTATCAGCATCGTCATAAGCATCATCATCATCATCGTCTTCAGCATCATCAGCATCGTCGTCAAACCACCACCACCATCTTTAACATCAGCATCGTCATCAGCATCGTCATCATCGTCATCATCGTCATCAGCATCATCACCAGCATCATCATCATCATAGTCAGCGTCATCGCCATCGTCACCAGCATACTCAGCATCATCATCAGCATGACAACCACCATCAGCAACAGCATCATCAGCAGTGTCATAATCACAACCACCACCACAAGCATTGAGACCATCGTCATCACCATCGCCACCATTATAATCATCAGCAGCATCATCATCAGCATCATCATCATGATCTTCATCGACATCAGCATTAGCATCATCATCATCAGCAGCATCATCAGCATCCTCATCATCATCACCCTCAGCATCTCATTATCATTAGTTTTCTGCATGATATTCATCATCACCAACACCACCATCATCATCATACTCATCACCATCACTATCATCAATCTCATCGGTATCATCATCACCCCCATGATCCTCATCATCCTCATCATAACTCTCCCCTACCTGGAGACACGAGGTGTCACACGCGACGGCCTCCCGTGCCCAGTCGAACAGTCGCCGGCAAGAATGCCGGGCTGGCACGGTGGCGGGACTCACCGCAGGCAGCTGGGTAACAGGTGGTAGTGGAAACCAAACGCGACGATGGGTCTACTTCTCACCAACCTCACAACAGACAAAGGGTTGCTGGCCTGTGGCAGTGCCTCGCTGTGCGAGGCGTCGCTCGTGCATGGCAAAACTCCCAAAGACGCTGCGGCCAACTGAGGCCAGCCCTGCACACCTCCTCCTCCTTGTCATCAGCACCGCCATCATCATCGTTACCATAGCAATCATCATCATTGTCATCATGATCGTCATGGTCATGGGCGGCGTCATCATCACCACCACCACCATCACCACCCCCACCACCAGGTGGAGAAACGAGAGTTCCATAGGCTACCACCTGAACTCGCCATCGCAGCTTGACGCACAATACCTCCAAGCATCGACACCCTCAAAGAATAAACCATCGCTGCCGCCTCCCGCCCCGATCGAAACCGGTTGTCCATGCTCGCTCGCTTGGTGACGGGGGACGTTGGGGGGGACTGGCTCAGGAGGGGAAGCAATGAACAAGAATCGGCGATACCCTGCCACAGCATCGGGAACAGACTTTCGATAGCGAAACAGCCCCTATTCCTGGGCTGGGTGGGCCAGGGGGCTTTATCGGCGATCGACGGGCGATTGCTGTCGATGCATCCCTTCTGAGCCTGTGCCCCCCCCCATGCGTTGCCCCTGACTCGCCTGAAGGAGCAAACAAGTGCATACGCATACACTTTCGGAAGTCCGCACTCTGGAAATTAATGTGTATGCGGTCGTTTCCTTTTCGATCTGCCCTTCCCTCGCCCTTACCACCACCACCACCTTGGCCGTCCTTAGCTCGAACCATGACGCAATTTTTACGTTTCGGCGACACTCCAGGTTATCCGCTGGGGGAACGTGCAGGCCGTGCAGGCCGCTTTAGCCCCACGTGTGCCCGCGCGCACCAACACTGTGTTCCCCCTTCGGTTAGGTCGGGGAAGGCCCCACACAGGCGAATTCTGGAGGTAAAAATGAAGATGGTCGAAAATACTAGGAATGAGGGGAAATAGTAGAACAATCGACTCCAAATTCTAATTTGAGTATGTTTGAATATTCCTCCTGTCGAGGGACACGCCCGACTTAACCCTTCGGACCTGAGCAACCCACAAGGTCAGGGTAGCTAGGGAGAGGAGAAGGCGGGCACGATATCCTGGTGGCATGCCGGACCCGGAAAACAGCCTCGAGCGCCCAGGACTGAAGAGACCACACCGTCTGAGCATCGTGTAATCAATCCCCATCCCAACCACCGTGTGCCGGGCCCCACTGGCCGATTTATCCCCCTGGATGGGGATATAGGCTGCTCTCTTCAGGTCTCGAGGGGCACATCCCCAACTGACGTGTTGGGATGGCGGGGCTCCACATGTGGATGGGATGGGGATAGGGATCAGTTAAACGATACTGACCGTCGGTGGCATCTGGGCGCCCCCCAAAAATTCCCCTCCCTCGATTCCCCCCCACCGAGCGCCGCGAAAACAGGCCCCGGTGGGCCGAGGCCGACGAACAGCTAACCCACGACGGGGGAGACAGACCACACCGTCGGAGATGTGGGCGCCCCCCCCTCACGAAAAACCCTGGTCCCAGAGCTTCGACGTCATGATTTCTTCAGAGCGTCGTCCCCTAAACGTCTTGACCCATTCCCCAGGGCCCGTTTTCTTTGTCCCGAGCCGTCTCCTGACGGCCCCGAGCCCCGGTAAAGGGCCCCCAGAGGCCGAAAGTGGCCAAAAACCTCCCGTCGTGATTTTTGCCATCATTCGACTTTTTTTTATCAATCGACGGGGTCTGCGGTTGCCGCCGGACCAATGGAACAAAACAAAATAACAAAAAAAAATCCCGTGCTCTCCGCCCATCCCCCCACAAAGCGCCGCTGGCGGGGCAGAGCCCGCCGGGCGGGCCGCGCGGCGCTCCCTGCCAGAGGGCCGCGCGCGCGGCCGCCAGAGGGGGACGGCCGGGCCGGCCGGCGGGCTCACGCAGAGGCCCACAGGACTTTCCTCTCGCAAGGAGGGGGGGGGGCCGGGGACCGCGTCGCGGGGGCTCGGCGGAGAAGCTGGCGCGGGAGATCCACGGGGGAACGGAGGAGGAAGAGGTGGAGGAGGAGGGGGAGGAGGAGGAGGAGGAGGAGGAGGAGGAGGAGGAGGAGGAGGAGGAGGCGGAGGCGGAGGACGACGAGGAACTGGACTTGCGGGGGTTGGCGGGCGGTGGGAGGAATGGCGGCAACACTGTCGACCCTGGCAGGATATATCAGATGCATGCGCTCCAGAACTGCAGGCCCTGAAAGCAGCGAAACATCCGATTCGACCCGGGATTCTACGGGCGATCGGACAGGCCTGGCGCGACAAAGGAAAAAAGAAAAAACAATGGTTCCTGACGGCGCGGGGATCGCTCAATCTGGAAAGATCGGCCGTTTCCGAGACGTCCGATCATTCAACCTCGAACGACTCTGGGTCGCTGGCGGTGTTCAACGCTGAACGCCGCCGGCGAGGTCGCCGCCGGTCGACACGACACGAACCCACCCACGGCTGGACTCGCCACAACGGAATCGTGGTCATAACCCTTCCCAGGAGAACCGTTCTCCTCTTCTGCCCAGGAGGAGGAGAAGGAGGAAGATGAGGAGGAGGAAAACGAGGATAATAAGGAGGAGGCAGAGGAGGCAGAGGAGGAGGAAGAGGAGAAGGAGGCTGGGGAGACAGCGAAGATGCCGCTGCTCACCGGATCGGTCCCAGGGCGCGCTCTGACCAGGGTTGCGCCGCGGCGAGCTCAGCCGTGGCGACGAGCGATGGGCAGCGACATGGGCATCGTCCCTTCCTCTGAGCTCCCCATCCTGCCTTCTTCAGGTCGGGTATGTCCCCCGACAGGCTCTAAATAGTTGAAAAAATACTCACGAACATTCAAAAATAGTCCACAGAATCGTCCCCTGACGATTTTTTCACTATGTGGGAATGTTCCTCAGAGGGACATGCCCGACCCGATGTTTCCTCTGCCCCTCCTCCCGCCCTCTCTCGTGGCGGCGAAGTCTCCGCTGCCTCCTCCGCAGCGACAGCTTTCGAAGGTGGAAAGGGGCGTGGTGTAAAGAGGTGTGGTGTGGACGCCCTGCATGCCCATAACAACGATATGGGCGACTCCACTGCGTTGCCATATGCGACACATGCGACCGAATCCACGGAAATGCTGGCACCGCTGCTCCGAGTGGGCCACGGCAAGGCGGAGGCGAATGCAGGGGGCGTAGAAACGATCGGATGGCAATGCGAGAACAGACGTGGACCTCTAGCGCGCCACATCAACGTGAATCACAGCCTCCTCGAGACAGCTGCAGGTTCTTGCCCGGGGGGCGAAGGGGCGGTCGTGGGCCTCCTCGCCAGGAGGTCGCCGTGCCGACCGCGGTGGCACGCCTCCCTCCTCCGAGGGAGGCCCTCCTCCGACGCCCGTGGAGGCCTCCCTGCGGGGGCAGGTGCGGTGCCCCCCCCGGCCCTTGGCCCCCGACGAGGGGTGGTCCCCCTGGAGGCCTGGCCCGGGAGGCGCCGCGCGCAGGGAGCGCACGCCATTCGCGCACGGCGAGTGCCGAGAACGTCCGCCCAGGAGGCCGCGAAGAGGCCCCCCAAGAGGCCCCCTCATGAAGCCCCAGAGGAGCTCGAAGAAGCCCCCAGACGGCGCACAAGAGGCCCTCAGGAGCAGCACACAACAACCGCCAGTTCCCCAAGGTCTCGGCGGTGTGGCGCGAGCCCAAGAATCACCCTTCGCAAGGAGCTCTCGCCGTGCGTAGGCTCCCGCCCCCAGCACACTGATCGGAAATGATGTCCTAATACCTTCTCCAATGTTCTGGTGCGAGTGCGTGGGGCGCAGGCGAAAACGTGGCGCCCTATGACGCCAATAAAAGGGGTGTGGGTTTGCCTTCATCGTGGTTCGCTTTCGGCGCCAGAAAACTTACGCATTGGCACGCCCCACGACACAGCCAATCCAAAAACATGCACTCGAGCGAAAAAAAACATGCGGTGCACCGTGGGGGAGGAGGGTTGAGGGGGAGGAGGGATGAGAAGGGACGAGGGGGAGGACCCAGACTCCGCACTACCATTACACTAGCTTTTCACTCGCAGCATGAAATCAGAAAAGTAATCAGAACGCAGTCCTCTTGACTGGCAATGCTCGCGTTGCGAATCTTCGGCGGCGCGCCCGAGACGGAAGCGAGAGGGGACAGGCCGTCTCAGAGGGCGGCGGAGCGGCTCTAGGGGTCCACGTGTGAGCCCCACCCTCCCCCTCAGAAATCCTGGGGGGCAGGGGTAGGGCTCGCATGTGGCCCCCTAGCGGCTCCGAAGCCCTTGAGCCTCCCGAGAGGCCGTGCCTGTCGTCGGAGCAGGCCCGGAAGCAGACCTCGGGAGGCCAGATGCCCTCCCAGCCCTCCGAGGAGGCCTGCCCCCTCTGCCCTCCCTGGCGGCCCTGTTGTCCACCACCACCACCACCACCACATGTTGAGGGGGAGGGGGTCGTCGTCCTCCTCCTCCTCCTCCTCCTCCTCCTCTTCCTCCTCCTCCTCCTCCTCCGCCTCCTCATCCGCCTCCTCTCGTCCTCCTCCTCCCTCCCACCCCAACTTATGGTGGTGAAGGGGTGGGGGAAAAGAGGCCCATCATCGAGCCGGATCGATCCGTGAGGGTCCTGGAGCTCGAGGCATGGCGAGAAGGCCCGCCGTGCTTTCTCCCCACAGGGCCTGCGGCTCAGGAGCAAGCGGTCAGCGCACCGTAGCCGACAGCACTTGACGAGGTGGGGCCAGGGAACGTATTGGAAGATTCGGAGGGTGCCATGAAGTATGGCAGATTTCATTGCGCTTGTCATAGATGTCCAACCACCCCTACCAACCCCCCTCTACTTACCATCAATGAGAGAGAAGGATCCTGGAGAAAACAGGTCCTAGACCTTGCCAAGGCATTCACCATCATGAGCTGTTTCTTCACTGTCCCAGGGCCCGTTGAGGACACCGGGAGGGAGGCTGAGATCGACGAACCTCAGGACCCGTTTCCCTCAGGACCCGTCTGCTTCATGCCGAATCTCTAAAGGCCTCCTAGATGGGGTCCGGGCAGATGGGGTCGGAGAGCGCCGAATCGCCGATGCATCTGCATTACATCGGCGATGCATCGGTGATGCATGGGGGACGTCGGCGATGCATCGGCGACGTCGGCGTGGGGAAACACGGGCTCCGCATTAAGCCGCATCGCCGATGCATCGGCGATGCGTAACGATCCTCCGACACCATCTACTCCGACCCCATCTGGGAGGTCTAGATTCATGGCGACTCTTCGCCACACCCGAGACGCTGCGGATGCCCCGCCCCCTTGGTCCTCGGCCGGGGCTGCCTCGGCACAGCGCGCAGCGCCGACGCGCCAGGGGCCTCTGGGTGGTGGCAGAGCCTCCGGAGGGGGGGCGATGGGGTGAACAGTTCGGTGGCAACGCATGGGAGCCTCCCGAACCATCTCATCGGCTCTTGCGAATCGATGCTAAGCGACGCTAAATCGGCGCTACCTCATCGACTCCCAGACGGCAGTCGACGCTAATCGACGCTTAGGACGGAATTGAGAGGGTACAGTCGGGGCATTGACCTAAGGAACTCTAAATAAGGAACGAGGGCCCTTCCATCCACAAGTTGAACTTCGATTTCCCATCGAAAACCAAAGGAAAACCCGAGGCAAACTGTGAAGCAATCAAGGAGCACGGAGCCCCCCCCAACGAACAGGGTTCCTTCTTCAGGGCCCCGACTGTAGACCAGGCTCCCATGCTTTGCGACCGAAGATCAACAAGAGGGCGGCCCTGGACCTCCGCGGGCGCAGGACGATTGTTCGGAGGGAGAAGGAAACGCGCTTCGCGAACCCTTGGCACCCGTGCCTGGGCAAAAAACCCATGGGGCACATCGATCCTGCCAAACCTCCACCTCTCTCCTCCTTCCTCCTCCTCCTCCTCCCTTCCCGTCCTTCTCCTCGTCCTCCACATCACCTTCTCCTCCCCTCCACCTCCTCCATCCTTCCTCCTCCTCCTCCTCCCTCCCCTCCCTCCTCCTCCTCCTCCTCCTCCTTCTCCTCCTCCTCCTCCTCTTTTGATACCTCCTGTTCGTCCTCCTCCTCCTCCTCCTCCTCCTCCTCCTCCCCTCTCCTCTCCTCCTCCTCCTTCCTCCTCCACTCCTCCTCCCTCCTCCTCCCCCTCCTCCCCCCCCGCCTCCTCAAGATTCGGCGCGCCGGGTGGACACGGACGGGTGCGGGGGGCTGCACACCTGCCTCCCTAAGGAGGAGGAGGAGGAGGGGGAGGAGGAGGAAGTGGAGGAGGAGGAGGAGGAGGAGGAGGTGGAGGAGGTGGAGGAGGAGGAGGAGAAGGGGGCGGGCCCTTCCCGGGGGGGGGTCGAACCGCCTCCCCCCCCCCACTCCATGCCATAAGGGAGGGGCCGCCGCGCCACGACGACGACGATGACGACGACGCCGCCGACGACGCTCCCGACGACGACGACGACGTCAGCGGCGGCGGCGACGACGACGACGACGACGATGACGACGCCGACGCCGACGGGCAACGGACGATCGAAGCCAGACGACAGACGACGAACGAAGAAGGACGCGGGTGACGGAGGGCGGACGACGCACGGACGACGGACGACGATGACGACGACAACGACGACGACGACGACAATGACGACGACGACAACGACGACGACGGCCAGGGACGACGACGACGACGACGACGACGATGACGACCGACGACTACGACGATGACCGGCTCGATCCAGCTCTGACGAACCCTCTTAGGGCTCGACCCAGCTCTCATAGAATCCTACAAGGGCTCGACCCAGCTCCAATTCCACCAGCCCTCTGTGCGTGAGTGGTTTATCGAGTTTCCTCTTCCATCTTCCCTCTTCACCTTCGGGGAAGGTTTTACCCCTCCGCCGACCCCATTCCCCTGGACCCCTGGATCTGTAGGGGGCGTTTCGCCAGCAGA